AAAATGAGGTTGCTGAGACGCTGGGGCCCGAGTAGAGGAGGGAGGGAGAGGAAACCTGCTGCTGCAGAGTTGTGAGCAGCCCAGGAAAGTGCGTGCGTGCGTGGAGGAGGGGGGAGAAGCAGCCTCGTCCCCCCCGCCGCGGACTCCAAGGCACTCTCCGTCGGTTTTCTCTCCCCTTGGCGGGGCAGCGTGCAGGACTTGCCTCAGAGACTTCTATGATTGAAGGGATTTTGCAGGAAGCGCTCCTCAGCCTGGTGTAGGCTGTGTGGTTTCTCTTTTGTGCTCGCTTGTTCCTGTTTTTTACTTTTTCATTATTTTTAACCTTACTTTGCTCTGGAATAAGGGAAACTTTTTATCTCTGGAAACATGTCGACGGGAGAAAGTTTTGAGTCTCGGTTTGAAAAAATCGACGTGACTTTAAAGGACCCCAAATCCGAAGTGAACGTGGACTGTTTGCTGGTGAGTAGGGAGCGCCGATGGGCCCCCGGTCCCGTCTCCCCGAATTTCTTACCCTGTGGGACCGAATCTCGCACTCGGGGCTGAGTCACCGCCCTGCTTAACTCCGCACTCCTGTTTTATTTACTCAGCGTTGAGCTGAGGGTGCGTGAATGTCCCTGTGCAGGGAGAGCAGCTTTCACGCCTCGGACTTGTCATCTCTCTCGCTTCATGCACCTTTCTTTTTTTCACCGACTGTCATAAGTGGGGGTGGATACTTCGTACAAAGGCGTAATTCGTGAGTGCCGGTCCTGTGTGTAAGCAGGAGACTGTAAATAGCTTTGATAGACCAATTCCATCTTCAACTTTTTTTTTTTTTTTTAAAGAGTGAGGTCCTCTTATTTTGTAGTTAAGCACTGCAGGACTGACTTCAGCCTGTTTAGCCTAGATGTTTGCAAATGCTAACTAATGATGTGTAAAACACAGCCGTTCAGATTAATATGCCCTTACAGGTGGGGAGGTAGTCATGGCAGGGGTTTAAATGCATTTTAAACTAGTTGGTGTGCTAGGCCTGGGATAGAGGGCTGCTTGCTTATTGTTTCCCTACTTGATCATACCTGATGGTTCAATGGATTTCTCCAGTGCTGTCACTGTTAAAATTGCATAAGAAAGCAAACAATAACACTTCCTGACATAAAACCAACACCATTTGGTAGTTGCTTGACAAAAGTGGATGATATTTTAGTTCTGCTTATAGGAAGTACCTCAACAGCGTGTATGCCAAATCCAACGAATTTGTTTGGGATGTAGCTGGGTACTTAGATATGTCTAGAGATGCCCTTAAATAGTAGCAAATTGTAATTTGTGCTTTTATGCTGAAGTAGAGAATTTCTTTGCTTTGTAGCAAGTGATAAAAGTTCTTTAGTGTATTTTTTTTTCTGGCTTTATGTTGTCAGAGAGGAGAACAAGTAAATTGAATTTGTTCCTAGTATGAACTCTGACATTTGGGGCTGGGGGGGGGAAGGGAGGCGTGGGGGCGGAGATAGCTCTTAATAGTCATTCTTCATCTTCTGTTGTATGGCTCTTACAGAAAGCTTGCTTGAACATAAGGCGGTGGAGAGGTGAAAAGAATCTAATGAAAGAATCTGTACAAGTTCACAATATTGTGTGCTGTGTTTAGCTTATTACTGATTTGTGAGCTTCTGAAGCGTTGACAGGTCAAACTTGCATCCCTGGATCAAAGCAGAGCCTTGTGGATATTGTTGCCACAAGGGAAAATAGCACTGCATCTTCCAGTTAACTTGCTTCTTTTGATCTAGTTCACGTATCTGTCATCTTAGAACCACAGCTAATGAGAAGAGCTCTGATGCTTAGGATATACTGTGTCAATTTTGGCAACTCAAGACTGCTGTCAAATCCGACATTTTTATACCCTGCTTCTATTGATAGATGTCAAGAGCATAGATCCAATTAAGAGTCCAGAGTTTTAGATTAACCATGACTCAGTTTGCTAGTATGTGCTTTAATGCTGGCCGTACTATGGGGATGGACTTCCTGCAGTGATAGTAAGGAGGTCGCACGTATCAAACACGCAGCTGATAGTATCCTTAGCTGTATCCCTTCACCTTTTAATCAGTTTAAGGATTCAGTTATTGTAATCGTGATTTGGAGCTAAGCAGTAGTCAGTTCGGGAATGAACTTGTTGGGATCCTTCCTGTCATGCTTGTGTAAAGTTTTAGAACATGTGTTTGCATCTCAGATCTTAAGGATGTCTTTTAAAGTGAGAATTTTTTAAGAGTCTTCTAAGATTTTGGGGCATAACTTTGTGTATTCTTTTAAAGGCAGCTTCTTACGGTATATTAATCAGAATTACGTTGTCTTTTTTCTTGATAGCCCTAGTTACAGATACTGTTCTTTAATACCAATTAAAAAAGAAAGTGCTTTTTCTGAAGACATCAGCTGGTAGGTTAACTTCTTACATGTTTGGTCACTATATCAATGTGTCTGCTGGCTGGACTTTTGCTTTGTTTCATATCTTTCATCCTGAGTTGGTTCTTGGGCTCTTTTCTGTAGAAGCATTTAAGTATCCTTTCTAAAGAGTTTAAATATTTTACACCAGTTCTTAGTGTGATGATTCACACTACAAGCATCATTCTTGGCCAAGGTACTATTGATATATGAAATCCTTCGTAATCTGTGTGGATGTGTTTTTAAGGAAGGAGGGCTTAGGTGTAGGTGTAATTGATCTGCGCTTAAAATGTCTTCCAAGATGAACACCCCATTCCCCTCCCCCAGCCCCAGGTTAAAGAGGGAAACTTGTCAGTCTTTAGGACTGGTACACGTAAAAAGAAAATAAAATGTTTTTTGTGATCAGACTCCATAAAAAAAAAATCCTTTTTTAAGAAGCTTTTTAAATCTAAAACCTTTTTTTGCTTTGATGTTTATAATTGTTTTCACTTTTCCTGAGCAAAGGTGTTAGCTAACTGTGTGTCTCTGAGTAGTAATAGGTGAATAACTGATGCATAAACACTTCAAATTAGGCATCTGATATTCTATACATGTAGGCTTAAAATGTTGGAGTTCCTTTAGATTCCCAAAACACGCTTTTTTGGCTGTGTGAAGAAAAGTCTCGGCAGTGCCTTTAGCTTCTTTTATTATGTTTTTACTCTCTTTAGCTTTAATTTGTTTTGCTTCTCTTCTTCCCCATCAGTTTGTAGCCCCGGTAGACTAAGAGGCAGGCATGGAATAACTTTTAAATCAATTTTGTAACCATTCTGGGTTTTGTAAATGTCATAAGCTAGGTTCTGTATGCTAGAAAGATTCTAAGTTTATATGTGAAGTAGTATGAGAACACTAAGAAAACAAGACGGGGGGGCTGTTACAAAGGAAGGCATGTTACCGTTTCAGGAAGGTGTGGGAGAAGAGTGCTGACAACAGAGCAGGCGGAAAAGATACACTGAGGACTATGTAACTTCAATTTACATGTTGCAGGAAGGAAATTCGTAAAGTTGAGGTGCAGGAGGGAGGTGTGTTTATTTTTCCTGTTTTCTCTTATGCAACTGGAATAAAACCAGAAGAAAAACCCAGAAAACTGACGAAGTTGCAACTGACTCTAAATTTGTTAGTTTCTTTGGGGCTTCTGTGCCCTTGATTTCCCAGCCTAGTACTAAATCATAGCTAGACCATCTTTTCTGATGAGCTGTGAGAAGGCCAAAGCCGAAGTTCTGTGTAAAGCATGTGCCACAGCATAATGTGGTGCTGTTTCTCAAAGTATCAGGTACTAGGAGCCCTACAGTCCTGAAAAGATCTAATAAGACTGTAAAGGCTGCGTTAGATAGGTAGTCGCACTCTAGGGTGTGCAATGATCAGATACTGGTGAATACCATAGGTGTGCTAAGTAGAGCCAAAGGCAATATAAGTAACTAGCTATTAACTTGAGCTTAGTGTCTCATTAATGATATTAAGCAGTGGAAAGCAGTATTTAGTGAGTGCACTTCAACAATTTTGGAATAAAAACAGATTTCTTATTCCTCTGTGTTTCTTACTAAATCCTTGGGGTTTATGGGCTTCCAGTTTTTTGGAGAGTGGGGAGGGAGGGGTGTAATGGGTGAATGGATGGGGGACTTCTTGACCTGAAGCTGCCTATGCTTTTGATTAAAAAGTAACTAGTAAATTTTCATGAAAATGCTTTTTGGTGCTCTCTCTGCTCTGATACTAACTCACAAAGAGTCTTTTCATGTTTTAGGTAGACACTTGAGTAACTCAATTATTCAAGTACTTAGTCAATTACTTGAGTAGTTGATTTTTAAAACTTCAGACTTTTGACAGTCTTAATCTGCAAAGATGTCAAATGTTTCACTTGTTCAGCAGTTTGGCTTCAAGTTAACTGACAACAGTAAACACTGCATATGACAAACTTGTTTTATCTGGTCTCAAGAGGTTTCCTTTTTTGTTGCACCAAAAATACACAGGTACAGAGCATGATTCACCTGTTTTTCCTAGGTCTATTTCATATTCAGCTGGATGAATTCATGTTCATCTGTCTTGCGTAGGAAAAGGTGAGGTGATCTCCTCATCTTTGGGATTTGGAGTTCTAATCTCTGTCGTCACTAGACCTTTTTCCCCCTTCTGCTTAGCTTGTTAGAAAACACTTCTGAAGACCTTGTGGTTAGGGATCTGGTAAATAAATAAATAAATAAACCAAAGAAAAAGTAAAGAATATAACTCAAAGTACCTTTACTTCAGAAGTTCTTATTTATCAAAATAACTGTCTAAAATCACCTTCACTGAAACCACATTAACTATGCTTTTAGAATCTGAGTGATAAAATGCTAGAGGACCTTGGTGTCTGAGAAGCTCACTCATTTGCTAATGGACCTTATGCATAGAAAAAGCAGAGTTTGAACACTTGCAGATTTGTCAGCTTCAGAATGCTGTAAATTGTCTGGAGGTAGCTCAGAGTAAGGGGAAATGTCATGACTGACTGAATCTCTTTGGACACGTTTCTACCGTTCTTTAGATCCAAGTGCAAGGTCCTGTACTGTACTTGCGTTGGGGTGATCACCAGTATCAGTGCAGACTGGATGTTGAATGGATTGAGAGCAGCCTATGGAGGAGGACTTGGAGATATTCGGAGAGAATATCTAAATCAATCTCTATTCTGTCAGAAAGAGAGTTTTTACCAGGGCCTGTAGTGATGGGACAAGGGGCAATGGTTTTAAACTGAGAGTAGATTTAGATTGGACATAAAGAGGAAGTTTTGTACTATGAGGGCGGTGAGAGACTGGAAGAGGTTGCCCAGAGAGGTGGTGGATGCCCCATCCCTGGAAGTGTTCAAGGTCATGTTGGGTGGGGCTTTTAGCAACCTGATCTAGTGAAAGACATCCTTGCCCATGGCCATGGGGGTTGGAACTAGATGATCTTAAATGTCCCTTCCTACCCAAACAATTCTGATTCTGTAGTTACATCTAAAATAAGACTTCTGGCTGACCTAGAAATGTAATTCTGTGTATTCAAGTTACCAT